TCCTGAATCAAGCCCAGTGGAGGGCACCAAGATGATCCAGGGGCTGGCACACATGATGTGCAAGACTGAGGGAGTTCAATCTCTTCAGCTGGAGCAGCTGGAAGGGGGATCTTACTGCTCTCTTCAACTACCTGGATAGAAGCTGTAGAGAAGATGGAATAAGACTATTCTTGGAAGCACACAGTGAAAGGAGATGGGAGGCAACGGGCAGAAGTTGCAACCAAGGAAATTCCAGTTGGACTTAAGAAAAAAATCTTTGCCATAAGAATGGTTACGCACTGAAAGAGGATGACTGGAGAAGCTGTTAAAAACTTGACTGGATGACCCCCTGAGCAACTTGATCTAGCCTTGTAGCTAGCCCTACTTTGAACAGTTGGTTGGATGAGGTGACTTGTAGAGGACAGTCCCAACCTTAATCTTCTATGATTTTTTCCTCCATTGCACAATATTGCATAATTTGCGGTTATGATTTGGGATCTAGACCTCTGGTGCTGTATCTACAGTACAGAAGAGATGGTCAGAGAAAGTTTGATGGTTTAGGGCTGTTAATCTATCAAATGGTAGCTCTAACAGATAGAATTTAAGCTGTAAAAGTTGACCTTTTTGCTTTGGTACTCTAGCAACCTTCAGTTGCTCCAAACTGGCTTAAATTAAGTTTTGGAAGAGACCAGAGCCATTTTCTGTTTTTAAAGAGTAGTAAGGGATGGAAGCTGAAGGTTTCTACTACAAGAGAAGTGCTACACAAGGCAGGGATAGGTACAGTTGAATGACTGAAGCCAATCACTTCATAAAATCAGTCCATCCTTTAGTGCATCTGATGCTGCTTCTCTGGCTGAAGTTAATCCAATTTAAAAAAAAAAAAAAAACGGGGGAAGAGGACATGCAGGGGAGGAGAAAGAATTCTCCTTATTGGCAGGTACAAAATTTACCAGATGTAATGGAGATCAGTCCGTAGTGGTATTCAGCAGGGGGAGCCACATGACACGTACCCCATGGGCTCAGGGCAACAAGCTCAGTCCTCTGCAAGCTACATGTTCTTTAGTCTCCTGGCATCCAATCACAGTAGTAACAGAGATGCAGTCAGATTCCTCTACAAGTTTACCTTACATTGCTGTTGCCACTTTTCACAGCTTTTCAACAAGGAGTTTATCTCAGACAGAAAAGTCCTGCCTGTTAAACCTTACATTAAGAAGAAGGGACTCAGAACAAACAAAATAAAGGAGTACAGATTTACAGCTGTACTTCCCCCTTAGAGATGCTGAAAGGAGGCTTGGCCTTTAACAAGGAAAACTAGTGAAAAGATCAAGAGTCTTAGGCAATAACGGTGAAGCTGTTTTAGGAATGGAGGCTCCACGAGTTAGTACTGCTCCCCCAATCCTCTGTCTCAATTTGTCTTGCTGGAGTCAGCTGGAACCTTGCAGGCCCAAGCTGAAGGATAGCAGTCCAAGCCAGGGCTGACTGCTGTCACGGGTCCAAGACCTGATCTCTCTTCTCATTTCCGGGAGAGAAATTACTCAATGTTCCTACCCTACCTCTGTCCAATATTGTCATATTAAGTTGTAGAGCAAGTAGACAGCAGGAAGCAGGACTAGTGCTTCTATGGTTCTATGAAAAAAATGCTTATTGGTAATGAATTCTGTTATTTCTTTGCTTTTAAACTGTTATTAACTAGTTTGAAACCAGCTCACCTCTGCTCTTACCTTGCTTCTGTTAGCCTATCTTGAATGGCTTTGTAAGCCAACACTCATGCTTACAGAGCAAGGTGAAAAGGAAAGGTAAAGTTTGTTATTAACTTCTTTCAGTGAACTTGAGTCATCACATTAAATGGCAGTGACTTTTTTTTTTTTTTTTTTTATAAGAAATGGTAGGGTAAGAGATGTCGAAGGAGAGGAAATCTGTTTTCTTTAGTAGTAACCCTGGTCATTCTCAGCACATATTCAGTACTATGCACTGACCACAGCCATAGCTGAAGCAATGTATTTGCTTCAGTACTTAAATACTTCAGCTAGTTTTGTTGACTCAGCTTTTTGCACATAAAACCTAAAATAAATAAATAAATATATGTATATATAAAATAGGCACGATAGTCAGAGGTGGAAAGGATTTTCTCATCTTACAAGAAAGCATATGATTTTATTGCTCATCTAAAAAAAAAAGTCTAGAAAAGGTGAGCTGTTATCAAACACTACTAAGTCTCTTCACAGGACACACTATTAGTCTATAATAAACATGCACATTAAAAGGCAGACAAAAAACTACGGACTTTGAAGCATTCCCCTAACAACCTACACTGCATTTGTCCTCTCCTTGCATAAAAACTCCTGCACACTGAACCCATTTCCTGCTTGAAACGCTAGTTCCTAATGCACCAATATTTAAATATGAAATTCAGCTTTGAAATTAACATGGAAGAGAAACTAAATGACCAAATAAGATGAGATGCCTAGGCACGCTAATTATTCTCAATTTGCTCTTTCAATTTTCATCAGAGAAGACATTTCACCATTCCTTTAAAAAAATGGATTGGAGGAGGATCAATTATATTGTAATATTTAAAAAGGCAAAAAAACTAGTATTAAAGAAACTAACAATCTGGAATCAACTTCTGGGAGGAAGAAACAAGGTTTTTGATATATGTGGGGCAACGCTTTTGATACTCTGTGCAAGCCACTGAACTACACTTCAGAACAGTAATGTTTGCTTGCCAAAATAATCTGCATTATATATAAATTACATTCTTTAACATAGAAAAAAAAATATACAACGGATGAAACAGTGTATGTGTTCCAGGCACTCCAAAGGCATCATAAGAGGTAGACTTCCCAACAGAAATGCCATGGTCTTGATGGAAAGTTAGAGAAGACTCATCTTTGCATAGTTTCACTTCAGAGAAAAGAACCTCTGAAAGGAGTAAGATGACTGCATGGTGGAGAACAGGCTCTGAAGGGGCACAAAAAAAAAAAATCACAATGCACATCAACACCGGTTCTTTGCACCCAAGCTGACCATCTCAGCAGCACTAGTAGCAGAAGAGCAGCCAGAGATGAATGCCACATACCTACTAGCATGAAGCTGAAAAATGGCTCACGGGCAAAGCAGCACCAGAAAAGTGATATTAATGCAACCAAAGCCATTGCATTACAAAGTGGTGCTGGCATAAATCTGTTCCACAGAGCTTTGGCTTTGGTGCAGCTAGAAGGAACAGTTGTCTGCAAAGACTTTGTTGGTGCTGAAGAATGGCCCAAACAGCTGGGCATGGCATCACAGCAACCACAGAGGCCTCTGTTGCACTGAAATCCAGAAAAAAAGGTGGTGAGAAGGAGGACGTCTTGTCCGGCACTTCTCATTTGGTCTTTCTTAAACTAGTAGTTTTCAAAAGTACCAGGGACAAGGATCTAGAACAGCTAAAAATGGCCACGGCCTCCTGGATCAGGAGGCTTCATCTTTCTGGCATGAAACTCCACAACTTGGAGATACTATGCTTCATCTGTGATCTGGAGGATCAGCAGCAGACCTCAGACATAAGGTTCCAAGCTGTGACAATGTAAATATGTCTAGAATGAGAGTCATATGCTGGAACACGATCATCGCAAGTGGCACAGAAAGATGCTTTTGTAATCAAAATACATCAAAAGAACTGGGACACAAAACATTGCAATTCATTAAGGAAATGACAAGAACTAAAAGCACAGCAGAAAGAACGTGCCAGCCACTCTTACTGCAAAGAGAAAGACTGACTCTGATGGCAGAGTAGAATGGATGCGTGAACTTACTTCTACAGATAAGCAAAAGAAAGCACAAGAGTAAGTCAATCTGATCAGTAACCATGTTGTCATTTATAAAACTGATAGTGAAGTCAAGTATTTTAAACTGCCAATAGAAAGTATTCCAATCCTTTATTTCATATAAATTAAGCTAAAGAAAGTTGCCAGGATTTCAGATTTCTCATGAATGTTTGGAAATATTAGTGGATTGATTTTACTGCTTAAGTGACTGATTTTTGTTTCCTATCAAAAGTCTAGAATAGGAGTCATCAAGATACAAAAGAAGCTCCCATAAGATTCTGCTCACACCATAAACAGTTATTAGGTTTTAGGTGTTAATCTGAAGTACATTTAAAACAAATTTGTAAAGCAGAATAAGCCAAAGCCTGTATCCAAATCTGAAATACAATGCTAAGTGTACAACAGGCAATACCAAAAGCAATGTGCATCTCCTCCCTTCGGAGGCAGCAGTGCCTAGTCCACTAAAACTCTGCAATGAGGGAAGACTATTCTTTCTTTGATGAGCAACTCAGTATGCTCCAGGACAGACCCTCCCAGGGATCACAAAAACGCATCAGATGGGCTGGGAGCCTGCAGTTCATGCGGATCAACTCAGAAACTGTTCAGAGGAGCAAGAAACAGACAGCTTAGATGCCCAAAAAGCACTTTACAAGGACCAAAAGAGGCTGTAAAGAGCTTGCTGCATCTCTAAGACACTGAACTAACCGAAGACAAGCCTGAAAGCACGGGCCTGCCTGCAAGGACACTATGGGCAGGAGAAAGAATTGAGTGCAAATTGTATGTTGTCTGATTCACTCCGAGTTACATACTTCGTTATCCAAGTACACAGCTGGTTTCAGGAAACTAAGACTCTCCCCTGAAAAGCAGGGGGCGGGGACAGATGGGACCGATACACCTCAAACCTCAAAGCTCTGGCTCGGTCCAAATCTCATTACAATGGGAACCTGCGTTAGCACTGCTCACCCCTTCATATGGTTATACTAAAAAAATCAACAAACAAACAACACACCCTAACCTAACCCCCCTCTCCTCATACCAGCTCAAGAGCTGCAATATAGCCTCTTTCCAGTGGCCAAAACTGCAATGTTATGGGCAAACCTCCTTGGTCATTTCTTCCTGCCCTCAACACTTCACTTAAGCTACAAACAACGGCCCATTCACAGTCATCTACAACTGATGTTCAAAGTGTAATATTTAAAGAGACCAACAAGGACACAAACGTGTTTGTTTCTTTTATTATGAAAGGTACAAAAATGTCGAGTATAGTGAAGCTATCATTAGAAACTGGAACTTTTTTGAACCAACTTTCTATGTACATGCACAAAATTCCTCAAGTGGAACAGTATCAAATGTGAAACACATTATCAGAATATAGCATATATACAAATTCAGAGATTTAATACCTCTGTTACTCTATACACGATTGTTACATAAAAAGCCAATTCCTACTTGCTTTAAACAAGTATTTTAAATTAAATTGATGAGACTACTCACGTAAAACAAAGCAGAACCTGGACAAAGTCCTGCTATCTGAACAGTTACTTTATAAATAAAGTACAAAATAATAGAGCAGGTTTCCAGCCAGACTCAATCTTCTATTGTGGCAAATAGCCAGTGCTCCATATTGAGGGAAGACAAATACAAACAATGACATCAAACCATAAATCTCTCAGGAGAGAAAAACGTCTACTGGCTTTAGATCACTGACGAGTTATTGGGAAAAGCAAGCCTTTTTGCTTTTTTAAAACCTCTCTCCCCTTGCAAAAGGGGAGAACACAAAGGGGAAATAAAACAGTTGAGCTTGCGCTGTGTCATCAGACATTCAGTAAAACATAACAAAACAACCCAAAACAAAAATCCTAAAAGCCAAAAATCCCACACCACACACCATTTTTCTCCCGGTTTTCTTCTTTGTATTGTTTTTAACTGGAACCAACTACTGCTTAGTAAAATAAGGCACTTCTTCCTTTAGATCAGCCTGTTTCCCTCAGTTTTAGCTTAAGTCCATTTTACACACAGAAGTGATTTCAGCTATGCCACTCGTGACAGCAAAAGGGATGCTCTTTAGAGCTGTTGCTTTCCAAGCATGGATGGCCTCAACAATACCTACTGGATTGCTTGAACCCAAGTCACACAATGAATATATGGCTGCCAGCTGCACTCCCCAGGGCACATCTGCAAAGAGTCAACACAAGTCAGCTTAAGGAAACTTTAAGACATAGTAATGTTTTTGGGATATGTGAATCAAAAAAAAAAATTATTATTTCAGGAATTAGAATAAAAAAAACAAACACATTATGAATCGGGATGCCTAAAACCAGATAGTAGCAGGTAACAACCTGCACACTCTTAAATTCCATAATATCTCATTTTAAGCTAGCACGCTCCAGTTTTCCAAATTTAGCAGGTTTTCAGTATTTGAAAGGGTACAAGGGACTTGAGCATCTAGTGATTTTACTCTGATTTAAAGTGGCCAGCCTTTATGAAAAGTCAGGTTTACGCAGAGCCTGATATAGAAACTCCAAGTTATATACCACTTACCTGGAACAACTAGAAACTGGAAGGGAGAGAAGCCGTAAGAGTAGTTCAAGACAGCTCCCTAACATCAACCAATGCTTCACTGTAAATTGAGGCTTAACATCCAGAATAATTTAGCAACGTAGATCTCGGCTGCCCTTACTGGCTTGCTTCATCCCATAGTCAGGAATTCAGATTGCCCTACAGCCTCTCTCACAGTAACAACCTTCTTGCTAGCAGCAACGCAACTCCACCATGAGCTGTTCAGGTAGCAAATTAGCAATTCCTGCTCATGTCAAGATCACCCTTTAAGTTCTCTGAAGCAGCATAATTCCAGGCTGGCTATATCTGAGCCATATTACTACATTTTGGTTAGGGAGCAAGTGCTCCTCGAACTGAAGCCTGTTTGTACTGTTCTGCACTAACATAAAACTGTACAAGCAGGCTATTTTGGCATGTGTGTCCTAGTTTGTGTTTTGTTTATACTGACAAAACTTCACATTGCAGGTTTTCCACTAGATTTCCTCTAAGCAGACATTACCTTCTTCTTTTGCATGCTGTACAAATAGTCCAATTACAGAACTAACATTCCTCACAGCAGAAAGATATCCTTCCTTCAAACCTATTTGGCCCAGTCGACCTAAAAGAAAAACAGTAGCATCTCAAAACTTAATTACATGCATGAGAAATTGTTGAAGAAAGCAGGGGAAAATAAATAAATAAACAAACAAATAAAATCAAGACACCCCCCCCCCAAAAAAACAAAAATTAAAAAAAAAAAAAAAAACCCCCCCCCCCCCAAAAAAAAAAAATAAAAAAAAAAAAAAAAAAGCAGAAACATTTCAATTCACTTCTCAGGCACCTTGACACTTTCACATGTCATACTTATACAAAGCAGAAATTCAATCAAAAGTTTGGATTACTTACCAATTAGTCTGAATGTTGATGCTATCACAGTATCAGGAATGGACTGGACCACTTCATGACCTTTTCTGTTTTTTACCCACTTATCCATAGAAGGCCAAAGCACTTTGCTGTGGAAGACAAATGAATTGAAAATCTGATACTGCATGAAGGGGTGGTGCACAATTCATGCTATAGTGAACAGAAATAGGTCTTCTATTTATCATCTATTTCCATAATTCCACCTGCATTTTAATTCACCTTCTCAGGGAAAAACTTAACATTCCAAGCATCCACAAGCAGAGTAATGTAAAGAAGCTTTTAAACCCAAGCCATCAAAACTGACCTGCTGGAGGAATCATTCTTGTTTAGAATATTATTTCTGATAAAAACATCCATCTCCATCCTTTTCCCTGCAACATTCTCAACCTTTACCTACTTTCAAGAACTTACTACCCAGACTTCACACACGCCTACGAAATCATACTACTTTCAGGTTTCACGTCAAGATGTTAGACCAGCTTATTCTATCACTGGAAAACAACAACTTCTATGTTACAAATGGAATCTGATACTTGTTTTTAACCTAAAAGGACTTGAGATGCAAGATTTTTTTTATCCTTAAAATGATGCTAGTAGAGCTAAGTTTATCATCTGTACAACAGTCAAATCTGCATGGGTTTAGTTAAAATGATGAATCTTTCACTGAAGCCAATTTGTATCAACTCTAAAAGGATTCCACAAAAATAAATTCTGCATCATTAGAAAGCTTAATTATCATCAGTTATTCACATTTATTTCACACAAGCTAATTATGTTATATAGCAGTTGCAAAATTGCATAATAATCTGGAGATTCTACCTGCTTAATGTAATCCCTACATACAAAATAGGGCTCTCAGGTAAATGTAGCAATCAAAATGAAGTCTTTGAAACCGAGTCAAGTACGGTAGCAGTCTATGCGCTGGATTACAGGGCTCAAAGAAAACGTAAAACATTAATTCTAAACCTATGACAATACCTAGACTCAATTAGTTGTAAAATATCTTCGTTAAAAAGGCTTATGGAGGCTGAAATTAGGATAGTAAACTAGTGACAAGTAACCATACTTTTATTTTTCAGCACTAAAGTAGCGGGGTTCCACTTTCATTTTTCAGTAACTGTAAAAATCTTCAACTAAGTCCAGAGGAAGACAACCAGGCACTTTTCTTCCTTGATAAGTAATGCAACTCAAAACCCTTCAAATATAGCCATTTAAAAAATGAAAGCTTTATTAAGATGGTTCTAACATGACTAGTTTACCGGAATAGTACTGTACAAGCCTACATTCCTCATTGACCACTCATGCTATCTTAAAAGAAGGCAGACAAAAACGGTAGCTAGTCTAGGTGTCAAATGGTTACAAAAAAAGCATTTATGAAATGTTTCATTATGTTAAAAGCTAAGTCACAGCTTCTCAATTATGAAAAAAAATAATTGGAAAACTTAACGTTTGAAGGAACTGCTTGCCACAATACCTTATGACATTGTCATGTGTCCAACCCCACTTCATGTGGGAGCAGAGTAGATCAATAGCAAATATGTACTGCCAAGCATCTTCATTCAGATCTTCTCCATACCGCTCACTCGACTGAAATTCTACTTTTGGACATGACTGCATTTCTACAAGCAGGCTTGAGACCATAACACCAGCATCCAAAGATGAACTCTGGAATTTTAACAGATGATTATCTTAATGCATTAAAAATTACCAACCCCAAAACACACCATATTCGCTTTACAAATATTTGATTTTGACTAGCTACGGCAATCACTTTTCTTATTGCAGCTTATCTGACACCATAAATTCAACTTTAGGTTTGGCTAAAACAACATAAAACAACAACAACAGCAGCATCACACACCCTCTCTTCTCTTTCCACAATTTGGGCATTTTGGTTTTTCTCAATGAAGCTGTAGTGTCAGAAGAGCCACTTTCCAATGCAAGAAGATGAGACCATGCCTGCTTGATTTCTGATTTTTTTGGTTTTAATGATTTCTAAAGCTGAAATTTGTTACTGTTTATTGTTCATTAAGCAGCTAATTCCCAAGCAAGTATTTTATATAGCTGAAGTAATAAAGCAAATGTCATGTAAAATAATTCTACTAATTAAACAGCTAGGACAAGCAAGTAAATTTAGACACAATCATCCTTTGAAAAATCTGAAGTTTTAATTAAAAAAAAAAAAGTCTATGCTTATCATGCAAACACAGCAGGTGTTGAGCTTCCTCAGTACATAAGCTCACGTAATCAGCAAGTTCTGCAACGGTATAAGTCACTAAAATGGCTTACTTTGACCACGACTGAAATTCCAATTCTGCATGAATTTCATAAGCAGAATAATTTCTCATGAAATCAGATGCATCTCAATATAAACATACTGTCAACTAAGATCTGATTGAAATTTAACCCTGTATTTCCACCCTAAAAATATATATATCTATATGAGGAGTGATGTCATCAACTCTCATCAAGAGAAATTCCTGAGGGCCTTGTCCCCAGCTGCAGTGGCTCTCATTTCATAGAGCTCCAAGCCACAAAGAAAGTGGGTAGCATGAGCGCACAGAATTAGCGTTTCCAGGTACATTTACTGAGACACACTTAGTGCATCTCTGTCAGCACGAGACTAAAAGCTGTACCCCACAAAACAGAAAGTACGAGTTCTTGGCTAAACAAGGACTGCTGTATTGCCCAACTCTGACAGAACACCAGAGCTTAATGCTACATCCCAACAGTGATTTAGCAAAAAAGAAACACATACAATCCACACTTCTCAACTCACTGCACCATTAGCCTGCACCAGACCAAAAGGCCTAAGGGCTATAACTCCGCTGGTACCATATTAAATTCAGAGCTGGTTCTAGAGCTTTTAAAAGAAAAAAAAAAAGAAAAGCTTTTCTAGTGGGTACAACAGTTTGAGGCTATGCTGACAGCTGTAAGCCTAGGTGCAGTCCTCAAGGCTGATGTAGAGTGACATGCTGGAGGGAACAGGAGAGCTGTTCGAAATGATTTTTGTTCACTTGGTATTTACAGAATTATAGTGCTTCATCCAGCAAGCCTAGCATTAATATGGGGTCTTCAAAACAAGTGGGGCACTGGCTTTCAAGCAAGTACACAAGTCTTGCACAATCTCCTTATCCAGAAGCAAAGGATCTCCGGCTTTCCATCTGCACAACATAAATTTGCTCCGACTGATAGAAAGTGTCTCTGAATTGTTACCGCACTTCCCTTTGCAATATCCCTGTTAGGTAGGAAATATGTGCCTGCCTCAAACTGATGGCAATTAAACGGCTCACCCAAGATCATACAGGGCTCAAAGACTTAAACCGAAATCACAGAAGTCCTTAGGTCATCTGTCTTCTACTACGACTTCAAAAAGCAGTTTTGCACTGACCATGTCAAGTGCTTATGAAATTGGGCTCACTGACATCTTTTGTGGTAAACAGGTATTTAGAGTCCCACGGAGTGAAAGATCATGGATAAGAAGATAGGCTTATCTTGAAAAAAAAAACTGAGAGAGACAATTACCAATTACATGGTCAACTACAGAAGACAGAAAAGCCCAATACATATTTAACAAAAATATTCAGGAATATCGGAATCCCAGTTCCATACAGGGACAGAACACAAGCCTTTTCCCTGGATCAAGAACACACCAGTCAAAGTTTAAAATAATGCTTACTGCAAGTGTTTAATAGAAAGAGTGTATTTAGTAGGGATAACAAGAGTGTTGTGTTCTAATAGGGTTCAGATATCCACAGGACAAAACCTGAAGCAGCATTAGTTGTGCAATTGTATAGACTCTAAGGGAGATTCATTAGGCAACTTCACACCCTTCATCAGTATTAAGTTGCTTGATTTGACTCAGCTAGCAAGGGGACCAATGCAGACAAAAGCGGATACCGACAGTGAAAGCAGAAATTACCTGTTCCCAGTTGAGATAAGCACTCAAACAGGTCAGCACCTCGTCCTTGACACGCTGCCTGATAACTAATTGCATAGCTTTGTTAATCACGCCTTGGAAGAAAAATATGTCAGGCCACACATTTGTGACAAATAAAATCAATTTATCCGAGTCTGGAAAGTCTAAGGGAAAAGAAAGAATAAAGTAAGTTTTTTACATTTAAATACAAAACAAAACATGCTCAGACATTGAAAACTAGCACGTCTACAGCAAGGTAGCTAACAGAGAAGGCCCAAAAGTCACGTGCCAACCACAGCGCAGGGAAGGGAACAAATACTAGCACGTATGCGAGAATAAACCAGCAAACAACAAAAACTACCACTCCACAAACCACCTCTCCCATTGCAATTTTATTCCTTTTTGAAAAGAAAGAAGTTTCAGTTTAGAAGGCAGGTATGGCTTCACTGGACTTTCCCGCTGAAGGACAGCACCCTTGTTCCTTTTTGGCTTCTGGGGTTAGTCTCACTTCGTCATTCTTACTCTACCTTAGTTCACCTAGGAGAGTGGTCTTGGAGCCTAGGAACTGGATTCTTTTAGGAACAAATCAAAAGAGAAGATACCATCCAGCACCTACATATTATATTCCCACAAAAAATAAATACTCAAATCACTGGAACAAACTAGAGCTAGTCCAAAAGAAAAAATCCCGAGAGGTGTAATAATAATATGAACACTAACTCTTCAGTGCAGATCCACACTACCTGTTAATATCTCGCACACATACACCTATGGAATCTACGTAGAAAAAAAAAAAAACACTATTTTCCAAAGAACTTTCACACAATACATACATGAAACTTGACCTTGCTCAGCAATTTACCCAAATCTTGTCATAAAAATTATACATAAGTTACTTTATATGAAGGATGCTTGTGGGAATATAAATTTTAACATGCAATGTGTGCTATATGATACAATTGAAGAAATATTATTCATGAAATTAATTCGGAGCAAGTATCTGAGCACAACCACATTCAATTTCAAGCTAGAAGTCCAATTCTTTTCTCATAAGCACCTGCTTCTCCTCCCACCCACTAAAACCCCCATGTTTCAGAGCGCGTCACCTGTGCTTTCTATGGAATTCAAACACTTGCAACGAAGAAACAAATGCATGTTTTGCTCTTCAGTAAAGGGCTGAACATGCATAATTAGCTACAAGGAAAAGCTGAAATGAAAGGTGCATACAGTACATTGTGCTATGAATGACTGTATCCAGAACTACAAAAATAAGAAAGGATAAAATTCCAGGCCATCTAAGGGAAGTTCACAGATCCTTATAAATGCCGGAACAGAGATCTTCTAGGCAAAATATTATTAAAATAGCAGGTGAGTGTATAGACAGCAAGGAGTTAAAAAGTGCATTGGAATAAGCAAGAATAAAATGTTACTTTCAAGGATGAAACGCCATATATACTCAGAGAAAACTAGGGGTGCTACTAAGAGCTACAAAAACAAGGAAGATTAGCAAGTTAACTGCATGGTCCCTCTTCGGTCCAGCACAACTGTAACATGAAAGCGCTTAAGAATTGGACAGCATCCAAAAATACATCAAACCAAGAAACATTACTGTATTTACTGAACGTAAGGAATTTTACAGATTACATCAAACTACAAAGCAGCAACTTAATTTAGAGTTATGTAAGGTACAACACTTGAAAGGAAAACAGAACAAAAAATGGACAGACAAGAAGTCAAGGGTGTAGATGAGGCAAATCTAAAGAAGTACTGACTGTTCAGAGACCCTCTGGCAACTGCATAGCTGGTACCTAGTTTGCAGTAGTGTTGCCACGATTCTGATGACAGTTAATATATGAAACCATATGAAAGAAAACCTTAAAATGAACACACTGTAATCATAATAAAATAATCAAAAGATCAGCAATTAAAAAAAAGCACATAGAACATCCACAATAGGAATTTAAGGCAATTCAAAGTATAGAACAGAAAATCATTCAACACATGCATTTAGCCACTGAGGTTTTTTTTTTTTTTGAGAGAGAGAAAAAAACCAAACAACAATTTAATATTTGCAAGAGTCCACAAAGACAAAAATACCAAGCTACTACAAAATAAAAGGCTCAATTGTTAAGTTAGACTAAAAAAGGCATCTGTCAAACAATAGTTTTAATATTGCATTATGTTAGAGACTGTAAACAGGAAAAGAGTGAAAGGAAAATTATGATGGACTGCATGAAGGACAGTAAAGCAGCTAAGAAAATAAGACAAAAAAAGGGAGATACTTAAGAAATCAAAAATCACAATTCTTAATTCAATTAAAAGGAGGAAAAAAAATAGACAGGGATGTTATATGGAAGATAACCGCTAACTTTGCTTCCCATAAAACCATCAAAAGTTGTTACATTTTGTTTCTCAGGCTCTCAATTTTAATTTTCTCTTAATTTGGCACACAGATGCCAATATACTACTTTTGAGCCCTAGATGGCTTAGTATATTCAAACTCATTTAAGTCTTTCCAGAATCAAGAGAAACTCACAAATTAGTGCAGCGATAGTATGCATGATTACCTGTGTCACTCCATCACCCAAGAGAATGGAAACAAAGGGAGACAACATAACTGCCAGGGAAGGAAGACTTCAGATAATGGAAACTACTAGAACTTTAAGGAGTGCATGTTTTTATAAATGCCCTGGTTTTCATACAGGAATTGTCTGACCCCCTTGCACTGTTTTAAGCCAAGACATGTTTCATCAACTTGCTTTATGAATCAGTGCACGCTTAACAACAATAAAAAAAAAAGACACGAATAAGCAGAAAGTAAAGAATTCTCTCAGTTCCATTTTGGGGATGACAGGGCAAAAACAAAAGCAGAGAGGATCCCAAATCAAGTTTAACAGAGAAGGCACACCCAAGCGAGTACGAAAAGACTAATAAAAGGCCAAGCCATTACCACAAACATGAACAAAGATACAGACATGGATGAACTAGGAGAAGGGAAATCGTTTCTACAGTTGTCTGTACTTTCTGCACTATGAACCAAAGGTCCAACAAAAATGACCCTTTCATAAAAGGAAAAAACTCCACAAATATAATCATTCTAGAATACCACAGCAAAGACATACAGTATGCTTGAGACACAACATCACTAAGACATACTATACCTTCTTTAAGTAAGCTATAGCTGAATAATCGGGCTCTTTCCAAGTCTCCCAGCTGCCGACAAATTCCTACATAAACTCTACAGAGAGCCTGAGTGAAATTGCGATTTGAAGCTGTCTTCCGAGTCTTGAGTTTACTGAGAATAGTGTGCAGCAGTGACTCTGCTAAATGCTGTAAGGTACAAAAACAGTTGTTATACCATACTAGAGAATATTTGATAACATTTTAGTAGTACGGTAAGTAAAAAGAACTACTGTTTTATTTGCAAAAATACTGTTTGCATACATATTAAAAATGCACCTGATTAATTCAGAGTGCAAAAGAAAAGAAAATAACCAAAGTGAGGAGCGACTTCCCAGAGCAGACATGCCTTAAGCAGATGCAGAACAAGACTACTATTCTTTAAATAAAGATTGTTAAGGCATATGATTCAAAGCTCACTTCCATAAATAAAAAAAGAGCAGAGGAACAGTGACAGGCAGAGGAACCCCAATAACCTAATCCAAACAGACGGAGCACCCTGACTTGGCTGCTCCTGGGGCTGTCACAGGAGGACAAACATGCCACTGTCTGCCTGCGGGACTCACCAGGCAAGTCAGCAGCAGAGGGTCCTCAGATCACCTTACAGACAGAGTGGGGGCATTACTGTCTACAGGACTCATTACGGGATGCAGGGGAGGAACAATCTGGAATTATGCAAGACTTACGATTGGATGTTAAAGGGAAGGACCAATGGGACCGAGTAGGATGAGAGGCTTGGGGAGCCACGTATTGGAGAGGCCACAAGTCTAGGCCAGATACCTGCAGACACCACAGGGTCTGAGTGTTGGCTACTGAAGAAACCAGAAGGTCCAAGCCAGCTACTGGAGAGATGTGTTGGGTGCATGTGTGTGTGCGCCTTTGTATAAAACAAGCGGGGAAGATCAAAGGTCAGCTACTGCACAGACTGAATGCCTAAAGCCAGCCACTAGAGGGACCCATGCTTTTGCGGGTGTGTGTGTACACGTGTGTGTGTGTGTGTATACACGTGTGTGTGTGCACACATACATTTTCCACTGCCAGTTCATCTCGATGAACTAGAGAAGGGAACAATATCAGGCCACTCGTGCTGTTCATGTTTGTGTGAGTGCTGCTTTCGGTGTTTAGTTGTGCATATACGTATACAGGTATCACGTGCATATGCGCCTATTGGGAGTACATGCTCAGCCTTGCTACTCCCTGGCCCTGGAAACGCAGAGCTGAGGCAGCCTCACTGCTATCAGGCTACCAGATTCGACAGCTCCTAACAAAGATGCCCTGAGAACTACGTCCGCAGCTTTTTTTGAGGGCTCAGCATATTAATCTATCTCAGTCTGCTTAATTACTCTCAAGATCTGAAATGGGGCAAAACGCTGCCCTGTATCAGCTGGTAAATTCCTCTGCTGCAGAGATCAAACCATCTTTGAAAACGACAGGACAATCGAGGTGAATTTTTTCCAACTCTGAGGCAAAACAAGTTCTGAGAAACAAACTAGTGAAAGGTTTCTGCAATAACATTTGTTTGAATAGCTTAATGTAACATGCTAATCAAGGTGAATATGGAATGAAAGGGTATGCCACTATGATATATATATTAAAAATATACATACATACACATATGATACAGCTTATATCTCTTTCTTATTTAATTGAAAAGATGCATCAAATTTCACACTTTGAGAAGAAGACTCGTTCTACAATCAATTATACTAGCTACAAAAATGCTGCAGAGTTAAAACAAAATGCTTTATGCAAATATCAGGGAAGCAAACATTTACAAGTGTAGCTTTGCCTCTTGGACACCACTAAACAGTGATTTCCTGTGCTATTTTAAGTTTTACATTTCTTAAGCTTACATAGGTTTAGAAGACGCTTGATAACCTTTCGAGACTACGCTTGCCACAACAGGTTGCCTGACTGAGAGTTTAACGACTGCATACTTATATTCCCTTCATCTGCAGAGAAATCGTTATTCAAATACAAAATGCTACATACCTTGTTTGTGATACCAAATTCATAGACAACTTCTTTCTCTTCATCTGTCATTACTGGAATCTTGGAGATATTGCCCACGTACACGTGACTTCGAATAACAGGCAACAAGTCAAAACAGGATTCAGCAATTTTCTTCAATGCCACAGTAACTATCTGGCAATCAGTATCAATAACCACCTTTACGGGTAAAGACGCTTCTGAACCGGAACTGTGTGCTGAATCATCGATTTCACAGCTCTTGACGTGCAAAGGTCCCTGCGCTTCAGACATCATATTTTCAGTAGCTCCAACAGCAGCAATGTCACTGGGCTCTAGCTTTGGTGGTTCACTGTCCAATCTCAGCCTCTTTGCGCTTCTTGGCATAGACATTGGCATTAATGTCCTTTTCCCAAGATGATTCAGTGAGCCGGAAAACAACTGCTGATTTTGCATGTCTTTGTGTTGTTCTTTGCTACTGTCAGATTTCAAATTGCTCCCAGTTTTAACAAAAGCAGTTGACGTAGATGCAATTGCTTTGAACCCACCTATTTGAGTCACAGGTCCTGGCAAATTTTGGCCGTCTGACAGGGCACTTCGGTTAAGCTGAATATTGCCTTTCAAAATGTTTAGTGTTCTTGCCCTTGCAGATAGCTCTGGATACATAGTGTCCAGTATTTTCACAGAGTTCTCCTGAGCAACAACCGGAGCAGCACTATCAGCTGCAAATAGAGGAAATCTTCCTGGAACGGGAAGTGCGTGCTTTGGAATGGAAGTACAAAATTTCAAAGGTGAAGAGAGAATTCTTCTACCTACTGCCACTTCTGAAGGAGATGGAGGGGAAAATAAAAGGGCAGATTTGACTGTGGGAGTATCTGTCAAAGGAGACATCAGAGGAGGAACAGGAGTTTCACGGAGTGGGGATATCAGATCATCAAGAGGAGAAAACAAGGAGGATTGAACAGATGAAGGCATTACTGGGGATGCGGAATACACAGCTCTCGGGGGAGTAGCAAGCAAAGGCAGCAGCAAAGGGGGCAGAGGAGGACCCATCTCCTGTCTGATTTTATTTAGAGTCTCGGATGAGCATTTCAGTGGTACAGATGTATCAGCATTTGCAAGAACTGATTGAGTCAGTTTAGCTTTGAGGGTTTTTTTTCTTCCTTTACCTTGAAACAGTCTCTTGGATAGCCTGCCATGCGTTGCTTGGACAGCTGTCTCAGCTGAAACAGTCAAGACTTCAGATGGTTCTTGCACTTGGCACTTCAATTTACTGCTCTTTTCGAGACCAACATCCACACAAGATCCTGACTCCAACGTGCATGGCTTTTCACACGTTGCTTTTTGCAACTCGGAAGGCTGGCTGACTGCCTGAGAATCACATACTGCATCAGACGGAGCTGGATTTGGAAGAGGCTTGACTGAAAACTTTTTTTCATCGCTCTTCAGAAAGTCCTTCTGAGGACAAGAGGTACAACTGCTACAACGAGAAGGCTCAGAACCTCCTAGCATAACATCAGTGATGCTGTCTCTCAAGTTGCAAACAGTGAGAGTTTGATTATGATTATATTCTTCAAACACTGATACCTCCTTATCAACACTATGTAGTAGACTTTGCTCCGCGTTTGACTGAAGTTTTCCAGAATCGTTTACTTCTAAGAAATTGCTAAGTGCTAACGTTGTATTTAATTCACTGGTTTTTATAGCCAGACTGTTCGTTTCTGAGAATGTCGTTAACATCTGGCATAGCGGTAACCTATTTTTTGGAGCACTGTGCACTGCAAGGCTTTCTTCTGAAGTTCCAGCTTTTATCAGACTTTCCTCACTGCCATCCTTCCATCCAGCTGTATTAGAACCTCCCCTGCATTCACAGGCACCCTCAGTATTTTCAGAGGTCAATAATAAAAGCTTTCTTTTATTACTGGTAGATGGTAAGTCTTCAGGATAACCCTCCCCGACCAAAGATGACAACTCATTTACAGTACTTGAAGAGGTGTTAGTTTCACAGCATGCATCCGTATCTGCTATAGTATCTGCTTTTAAATGACTAGCCATCACAGTGTTTCTGGGGGGCGTTGTCGAATGACATTTACATACTTGGTGGTAATCGCCATCCCCCACCGCTGTCCCAGAAGCTCTCAACTCCTCTCTGAACCCTGGAACACAGTCAGACCATTTGACATACCTGTCTTTTTGTATGGGACAGCCTTCCTCTTCAGATTCTTTGCTCTGCTCTGGGATTTCAGAAGCACTTTCAGACCTTTCACTGCCACTTTTCTCAGATGTCTCAACACTGTCCAATTCTTTGCTTTTTCCCCCAGCTGTTAGTTCATCAGTTCTAGAAGGATCTGTAGCAACCTCCCCCACAGAAGTCTTGCATCCTAATTCTTCACAAAAAAGCTCTTGGAAGCGGAAATTATCATCAGAGGAGTTGGCACCCAGGATCTGTGTTTTTAGCAGTGGCTGAGGTTCTTCATCTACTGGCTGTTCCTTCTCACCCGGAATTTCCGCTTTGCTTTTCTGTGTGCATTCGCTCCCAGGGCAGTCTGGTTCTTTGCATGCATTCTCTTTTTCAGCAGGTAAGATCTCCAAACCCTCTTCCGAGCTTGCCAAAGAGCAGTTAAACACACTACACATAACATCCGTTTCATCTCCCCCGTTTTCCCATATACGGGCAGAAGCAGCATTTTCTGTGAAATTAGTTTCAAACCTGCCAACTTTCTGAAGACTGAAATTTGGATCAGTAGGCACTGTGGATTCTAAGCCAATTTTCACTTGAACAGGAGGATCTGCTTCTTCAGGATTTATACAGCCTGTTTCCAAGACCTCTTGAGTAGGCAAAGCCAGTCCACTGTTAAAATCCTTTTCTGAAGCAGCCTGGCATAAGATTGCTGAAGTGTTATTTCTCTTCTTCACAATATTCTCTTCACAGTTAAATGAACTGTGACGGTTCTCAGTCACCACTTCCTTGCTTGGCTTATTTAATTCCCCTTTTATCTCACTACATTTAAAATTTTCAGTTACTGAAAACTGATTTACACATTTTGCAAATTGTTCCTGAGAAATAAGTTTGCTTTCTGCTAAGACAGATTGGATGGTATTCACTTTCTCTGTTTCTAACAGCTCACTGTTGTCCCCTCCAAAAACTTCTTGTGTAACTTTGAATTCAGTCTCTTGAGATTCGATCACTTTTAAGTTCTCAGTTTTAGACAGCCCACATTCTAAGGTACTACACGTGTTTTCAGCTTGTTTCATTTCACCATTTTGTTCTGTAAAATCTAACACAGGTGGGACATAATTAGCTGCATCATTTTCCGCATCAATAACGCATGCTGCCTTTGGTAGGGCCAAACTTTTGAAGTTTGGTAGGGCCAGATTTTCCAAGTCTGACTTTTTTTGCAATAAATTATTATCTTTTTCTTCCCAGCGCGGTTTAACTTCTAAAGATTCCCCCTCCTTTATATCTAATACTACTCCTTTTTCTGCTCTATTGATTAATTCTGATGATTCAGCTACTTCCAGAATATTTTCTTTGTTCAATTTCAGGGCTAATTCAACAGTCTCAGGTTTGGCAGTATTCACCTCTCGAATTTTGAGCTGTTCATCATCTTTTGGAAAGGGTGAGCAAGGAATTCTGTCCACACCTACATTTTTGCCTGTGTCATCTACATACAATGAATTTCCGATTCCTTCGGTAGCTGATGCAAGTAAGTAATGTCTAGAGATATTAGAAGTTTCTGGTTTGCACTCTTCATCCAGTTTACATTTTTCTGTATGCACATATTGTTTCTTCAGTATCTCTTCACTGTCATCTTTTATTTCAGAGCACTGAGAAGGAGCAGAGATCTCAGTAGCTCCAGTGTCTACCTCAGTCTCTAGGCCTCTTTTCCCCCCATCACACTGCATCGTCAGGTCTTCAGCATGCTCTGCTTCACTGAAGAATTCAGAACTACTGAAACCAGACTGCATGCTTTCAGAGAGCTTCCTCTTGTCATTTGCCTCTGCACACAGTCCTTCTGTCTGTATTGCAGCTGTTACTTCCTCTCCAATTATCACCTGTTCTGTGTTTTCTTCTACATCACTTGCCATATTATTTACTCTGGTTACATCTTTGAATTCATTTTCAACTACTTCATTCTCCGTCAACACGTTAGATTTCTCCTCAGAATCTTCACTTTGAAGCACAAAGATGCCTTGCTCAGGTGCCAAGTGAACATCTTCAGGAACAGATATTGCCATGGGAGTTTCCCTCTCTCCTGATAAACCATCTCCTGCTTTCATTAACTCACCATGCTTTTCATGCTTACACTCATAATCAACAGATCCAATTAAGACTACATTCTCCTCTTTCTGCTCTACCTCACTACATTCTTCCGTCTGATTCTGAGGCTGGAAATTGTGTGACATACTATCAGCTGAAGAGGTTCCACATTCACTATGCGTGTCCTCAACATTCCCTCTCTCTTCTTGAACAGGTTCTAATTTATGTGCCGTTACTTCAGTTAGTTCTTTCTCAGTTTCCACATTCTCAGAACTCTCCTCTGAAAGCTCTTTGTTAGCTTCCATGCTCATAATTAAAGTAGCCGCCTCAGGTTGCTCTGCTACAGCATCTCTCTCCTCCTTGCTTAGCATCGTTGGACCAATATGAACAATCTTTTCATTCCTTCTCAGGTTACCTGAGATTTCTGCATCAAGACCATGCAGAGACGCTTCATTCAGGCTGAACAGATTACAACTCTGAGGCTGAACTCTGCCTTCGTCTAAAATACACTCCACTGCAGAAGCACTGCAATCAACTTCTTCATCGCTGGAATCCGTGACCTCTCCAAACAATACATCCTTCAATTAAAAATACAAAAAAGTCAATTCTCCTGAAGTCCCATATCAATTCTAAGACCTATATTTCTCTAAACAAATACACTGGCAGCCCTGATACACAGTGATTTTGAGATACTAAGGCTGATCAGTAGAAATACATCCCTCTCCATCATTGCTTTTCATAGCAAATTGAAAGCACCTATGCAAAAGAGAAAAGGCTTGACACTTCTTTGCCTACCAACTTACACTCTAAAATTAAAAAAAAAAACAAAAAAACAAAAAAAACCCCACCACAACCATTTTGAGTAGTTTTCCCTTGACTTTCAAGATTTGAAAGTTTGTTAGGAAAGCCATGCTTATGCCCCCAAAAAATCAGGATTGTAGGTCTGTAGCACTGGGAAACGAAGTTATGACAGCAGTTGAGACATCATCATCTTTGTTTTAAATATACTTCAGAAATTATGTTTTGCTCCTTTTCACAAGCAGTACACTGCAGAGGTCAGAAGAAAGTGTATATTTAGATCTAAACACAGAGACCCTTTCTGGCGCACAGGTGTAAGTAATAGTGATTCTCAACCCCTTTCTTTCTTCCCCCCGACAAAGGAAAACCCAAGCATTCCAAATTGCTATTTTTGCAGTAGTTGTAAGACCGAGCTACTGCCAATTCAGACATATCCTGAAACTCACCTGTGTAGCTAGTGGTGAAAGCTGTACTGGAGAAAGCAGAGCAGGGAGAGGCCTGGCCCAATTCAGTACATCCATCACATTTCCACCTGGGCTTTTTTGCTCCTGATCAGAAAAGTCTGAACTGTTGCTTGCCCCTTCTGTCTGTACTATCACATCTATAGTTTTGTCCTCACAAAAAGCATCATCGTTAGTACAACCTTGCAGATCTTCCTCAGTAGTCCTGTTTTCCAGACGGTCATCTCCAAAAGGCTCCGTGCCTACTCGAGGCTGCACAGCTGTTACAGAATTTTGCTTTTCAACGCTTTCTAGTGAAGAACACCAAGGTAGCATTTTGTCATCAGATTTCCTCATCTTTTGGTGGGTTTGTACAGTTTCTAAGAAAATCAGAATAGAAGAAGAAAGAATATTGTTAAGAAATTAATATATTTCCCCTCATTTTCCTAATACTTCAAAGTAATAAAATTGCATTACCACTTTTTCAAGTAATGGCCCCACAGACTATAATAAGAAGCACTTAAAAGTCATTTTCAGAAATATTTTCCATGCAGAGATCAGGTATTATTATTCACAAATATATCTTTTTCCATGCAGAAGATATATGAATGTACAAAGAGTTCCCCCCTACATACCACCTTCAGGCTTACACCATTGAGACTATTCTTTTCAACTCTTCCAGTTAGGAAGAGCCATACTGGGTCAGGCTGGAAGTCTATACAGCTCAATGTTTTGATTCCAGTTTTAGCCTAGTAATCAATGCTCAGGAAAAGCAGGATAAGCATGCAGTGGCATTCCCCATTTACCCTTTAATTCTCAGCTTAAAGCAACCTGAAGCTTTGAGCCAGCAGCTGCACTTTTATATTTAAACCATAACATGCAGATCAATTATAGTTATACTCTGCCTTCAACACAACAATACACATAGTTTTATGATTTAATACATACATGCTTCTAAACTGTTCGTTCTTTAAATTTCGCTCTTCAACTTATTCATGTAAGATTCTCTGGGTTTTTTTGTGTTAGGAAAACTGAACCCTTAAAGAAAACTCTCCTAAAAGTGTAACTACTTTTTTTTTTTAAAAAAAAAAAAAATATTTGCACACAAAAGATAGGAGTTTGAACCACTTGACGAAAGAAAAATACTGAGAGACTGACAACCCTTCCAAAGCAACAACTAAATCTGTTTTGTACAATCATTATAGCATCAAGAAAGCATGTCCATGTGTTGTGTGAAATTCTGAAATTTGAATTCTGTGATTTTGGAAAGGAGAGAGAAAAAAAAAAAAAAACTTCCAATAAAACTACCAGTTACTCTCACAGAAATCAACAGTCTCAAAAAACCCAGGGTGCCACATAGAACTAGAATCCCCTCTGTAGTACTTGAATTTTTTGTAAGACATTTTTGTGCTTGATTATGCTTATAGTACAAAGAAACACTACAGGACACAGTATCAGCAGCATCCAACCAAGTTATCAAAGTTGTTCTGTGCATGCCCATGTGCCATTCAACAACATAAAGAAGAGCACACGCACAAAATAGTTTTGAACAGAGAACATTATTTAATTGGCAGAACTGATGGGAGGGTGGGGCTAGAGGTGAAGCATCCTTCATCACTGCTATTGCTGTAGCAGCAGAGAAACAGCCACAACTTGCAAGGACACTCCTAAAACAGCCCATCCATGGGAATATTAGATTCAAAAATACTGATTTAGTTCCAGATATGAAAATGCCCCCTCAGAGATCTGTCTCCCAATAGCCTTCTAAGAATGTTCTGACATGCTGGCTCCCAATAAAGGTTTAGATAGGAAAACTCATCAAAAAACCCATGTCCAAGATCCATGTCAGCCACTTCACATAGCAGCTATATATCTCAATTGCTACAAAACACTAGGAGGAGGGAGAGACCGTTCAAACAAAAGACCTTACCACCTTATTCTCCCATAGGTAAGCTCTGACAGTCTCCTCTGATTAGAACAACATCTTAGAAGTCTTAAGATCACACACTTATTGAGCTCTTTCTTTAAGAGTCACAGAGAGCTTCCAGGAGGTTCTTCATCTCTTTGTCATGAAAAACCTAGATCCCCTTTACTAGTTAGGTCCCCCACTGGACCATCTAACAGAAAAAGAGATCCCTCACAAGTAGGAACAAAGAGGAGGATCAGAAGGAAGAGTCAGAAGATTGTTTTCTTCAAGATTTTAGGATGCCCTTTCCTCTCACGCCCTTTTGTGCCAACTAGTTCTAAAATTAGAACTTCCTCCACACTGAAGAGGGCAGATACACACAGTTCCACGTTTTGCTCCTAGAACCTCAAGACGACAGTTGGGAGGTTACTCTGTTACTCTGAACAGGGAATTAAATAATCATGGCATTCCCCATTCGCTAATCATTTAATGTTAGTAAATCACTAACATCATATGGACTTTCACCTCACATTCACTCAACATACAGATTAGGTCCTTATGGATTCAGTCTTAGCTTTCTATTTTACAGGTAACACTACTACATACAAGCCTTAGTTTTTAAAAAAAAAAAAAAAAAAAAAATTAACGCAGACATCTATACCTGGCTTCTCCCTCTAAACCCCAAAGCAGTAGAAAGATCAGATAAGATGGATATAGTTCTGTACTAAGACAGATTTGCCTCAGAAGTTTCTTGCATGCACTACATGGAGAGGCTCAACTCCTCCCAGAGTGCCAGATCTGGTCTTCCCATCTTCCCTCACCTTCTCTTGCCCGTAAGTATGCATATGGCAATGCATCTTGGAGAATCCCAATCACCAAAAAACTCTTCAGCACTGTGCTGCAAGATTCTTCACACATTTCTCCATATGCTTATTCACACTGTAGATGACTATGCCCAAATTACATGGGAAACAGGTTTGCAAAGTCTAAGAAAACAGCAATGTACTATTAACCTTAGAGTAGCGATGGTCAATGACAAGTCCAACCAACTTTATTACTGTTAGATTTGGAACAACACTACCAAAACCAAGTCAAAGTGTTTTTTAAATAAATTTGGCAAAGTCTCATTGCCCTATGAGGCTTTCACAACAGCACAGCGCTTGGTAAAAGCATGAATGGAAAGCCTGATGAGTCTTAGATTTCACATACGAAAGCATTCTTCAGAAAAACCATTCAAAGTCATCTCAACCCTGGTGGAACAGAGAAAGCACTGACTGTTGTGTAAGGCTTTGATATCTTGCAGCACACTTGAGTGCACCAAGAAATCAGCCGAAGAGATTTATTTCTGAAAGACTAGGTTTGGGCAGACAGAGGCACAGAGATCATTCTCAAAAAACGATGCTTCAACAATACCATCAGCAAGCTGATTTGCTCCTGAAGATGAAACTGTCACCATCTTGGACAGGAACTTAAGACAAACTCCCAACTCATTAAAGCATTTGGGTTTTTTTGCCTAGAAGTTTCCATCTGTAATCATCAGCACTCTGATCTTATGAATCCTGCTCACCAAGTAATGGCTTCTTTCATGAACAACAAGATGGCTGTTCTAGACTTAAAGAGAAGAAAGGGGGGAAATGAAAAAAAAAAAAAAAAGGCAATAAGAAGTAGGATGTACTTCTGCAATATCCAGCCATCTCAATAGAAGTAAGGGAGGGATTGACTAGAAGGGACTGATGGACTGAATGTTATGGACAGTTGCTTCCTTCTGTGAAAGCACTACAGTTTCCTTCAGATGCGAATAGGGAAAATGGGACAGATCAGTTCTGAAATCTAAAGCTCCTCTTGTGGCGGAAGGGTATGACCCTGGAACATAACACTCCTGAAGTCATCCACATGACAGGAACAAGCACAGCAATCTCTGAAGTGTTTGATCCTTGATCAAGGAATCAAGTTCAGAATCTAAGGGGACAACCGTCTAGCTCAGTTCTGGAGCTGCAGACGTGAGGCTGCAGATCTGTTGCAGTAGGCTGACGCAGGCAAGAGTGATAAACAGGCTTACAGATCTATCTTAGCATTTTGGCACCTATCAAGCGGATTCTGCTGTAATACAATCTGACACTAGATTCATTAGGATCTACGCTGGCAACAAATTTTCAGACCTAATAGGGCAAGGAGATGGCATAGCTGTTCATCTTCAAAGCTCTCAATAGGGTACTTCTCCCAGGCAGTATCTGTACAGCCTAAACTACAGAAAATCAAAGTAGTACAGAAAATAAAAGAAAAATAAAACATCAATTAGCACACCCTGGGGAAACAGCTACAATAATGCAGTTTCAAGGCACTTATTGCTCTTGAGGGCGGAAGGAAAAGGGGATCTGTCCGGTGAAGTCGAAGCAGTTCAAGTTTGGTGTCAATATGCGCGTGGATAACTACTGAGAGGTCTTTCGGAATTAGAATTTCACATTACAAAATTAAAGGGATGATCAAACACTATCTTTCTCTGACACATGCATATGAAATCTAACCCACCAGGTATGCATGTAGAAAATGGTGGTAAGAGATTCTTACACTTTACAAAGCAAACATTTTATCACGTTTTCATTTCAGGCTAAAAGAGAGCTTGCATATAGTTCATATTATATACCGCGGAGTTTAAAATGATGACCTAATTATTACAAGAGAGGTAGGAGGGCACTTTCAGTTTTTTTTCATTATTTTTAAGAATTTCATTTCACTGCAACAGCAGATTATAACCAGTTCATGCTTAGAAGAGCATTCCAACCTACTTGGCTGCTGAAATTGTAACTTGCAGTTATTTTCAGATATTCTAATTGCACACATACTTGACCAAGCAGTCACCAAGGAAGATATTTAAGACTGTCCAAAAAAGCGTTATGCCAAGAGTACCCAATGTGATGATATTCCAGTAAGGCTAAATGAATGCATTTGAGTATTAACGTGCCTACATTCACTGGAACCTACCTCCTGCAACAAAGCGTCTTCTTTTTTCAAGTCGTCCCTTATCCTGAACAGCAGCTGAAGAAAAAAGTTAGCAATATTTATTTTTCATCAGAAAAAGGAGGCAGTTTCCAGAAAATTCCAAAGTTGTGCATGCCATCTCACCCAAGATGTAATCATTTTCCTCTTTCTCTCTTTTTCCTGTTGCACCGTCAATACACATCCAGCGCTCTCTCAATAAGAGTTTTATTTTTTCTGTTAAAAGAAATATTTTTATAAATTGAGGAAAACCTCAGTTGTTCAGAGAGCTAAGAATTTATGTTTTTGTACTTACTCAAAACACAGACATGACTGCAACAAAGTGGAAAACACTAATTACAAAAATTAAGACAAACAGCAATTTTAGCCTGAGAGGAAGAGATACTAGATGACATAAAGGGAATGCATCCTGTACTGGACATATGTACACAGCAAACTGAAGGAACAGCTGCAGAATGCTTTAGTTTTTCCTTATACACTGAGGGTGGCAAAAAAGTTGCAGCACCCCCCAGAGAGTAACAGCCATGTAAAAGCAGATTTGAAGATAACATTAGTGCAATTAAATAGCTTCTATAAGAACTCAGCTGATGCCAAGATAAACGGGGGAGGGAGTCTTTTACGAACACCGTATTTATATCACTTTCCTTCTCTATGTCCACTCAGTAGTAACTTGTCTTAGTCTTATCAAGACATAAATGTATCTGAACAGAGTATCAGGCCACAGCATTAGTACACATCATCCGGACTTCTAAAAGTGTCATTGCTGAAGGATGCTAAATAGCCTCATTCCTGTAGCAGAACAGGAGGAGTGGGGATCAAAAACCCAACAACATCACAAGGACCTCACTCACTTATGCCAAGACTCAAGTTCAACGATCATCAGATCAAACAACTGGCAACTGAGAACATTGGTTTTGCTGCAATTCTGTAAGCCAAAGACCACAACAAACTGATACTATCTTATGAGCAGATATATTAAGAAACTTTGCACATAAGAAGATCTGCCAATTTCTGCATGACAGCTATTAATAAGGTTCAGATTAGAGCTCAGAACTTAATTTTCCCGTTTCATTAAAACCAAATTAAAAATTAAAGGATGAAATAAGGTTTGATTTTAGTACAATCTAAAGGGGGCAAAAATGCACCAAGACACACAGGCAGTGACAAGGTCTCTTTTTCCAGAAAAAGATCAATTTGGAGTGACAAAATTCATATATAAATATTGCAAAGCGTAAAGTAGAAAGAAGTTTTTCTTTTGTCTGAAGATTGCTTTCAAATTTTTTAGCTAATCGAAAGAGCAATATTCCAAAGCATTGTCAGTATTTTAAAAGACTGCAAAAACACAAAAAAACATGCACAGTTGCTTCAAGCTCAGCCTCTATCTGTCCTCAGCAGTTTAGATGAAGTTTAGGAGTTTGTTCAGGTATGCAGTTGGGCTCAGATAATTTGCAGTGGACATTTTAGGTCACCAGAAGAAAATTCAGTAGGATAAAAACAACTATTCCTACTGGATTTCCACCCCATTCAGACAAAAAGCTTCACACAGGAATGTTAACTGTTACAAAGTCTATCCTGTGTCCTTCATTTTCCGTATTTCCTTATGATCTCAATGAGCTTCAAAGACGAAGACAACTGTATGGTTTATATTTTTCTCAGTGGTTGCATTCTGTTTCATAATTGCAAAACGATCTGCCTTTCACATGCATGAGGCAGACTGCAGTCATTTTAATGACTCAAGTATCTTCCTTACTGCAAAACTAAACACAGACATTTAATACATTAGTGGCTATGTTCCTTCACCAACGTCCAGCGTAACATATTTGCATTAACTACATCTGTTCTTACCGTAATTTTGTCATCATCCTCCATTTCCACAAATACAACTCTAAGCACTCCAAAAACACAATTTCAAGTAACAGAATAAACTATTTTCCAGAAAAGGGATAATAAATTCATAATGATTTGTATTGCAGAGAGAAAAGTATTCTAAAAATCATACCTTTGTCTATATCTGTTGTAAGATCTTCACCAGAACTCTGGGTCTCAGCATGTTTAACTACTGAAGAGAAAGTGAGGGAGGAGAAAGGTTAAAGTGCTCAAATGAACATTACCATGCATAAATCTGAAGGTAATCAAAGCTGAACACTTACTCTTTCTGCACTTCTCCTTAAAAGCACCATCAAGTCTACCCTGTTAAAATTAAATGATGTTAAGCTTTCATGCGAAATATTTCTTGGAGAAACCATGCTTAATTAGCATGATATCTAAATCAACATTTCAAATGGCATCCTTCATTTTAAGCAATAAAATTTTTTCCAAATATCTTGCTAGATTTGTTCACTCAACATCCCCCAAAACACAATTTCACTACCTCAGTATCTGCTTTATTAGTATAACTTTTTTTTTTCCAGAAATACTGAAAGAAACCTCATCTAGAAACAAGAAGGTCTTACTTGTGCTTTCTTTAGCTCCTTTTCAAGTCCTTTCTTTTCAGTTTTCAGCTGTCTGAAGTCTTGTGTACGCTTTGCTGCGGCCTCTTCAAAGAAAGAGAGCCAAAGCTCAAGTTAGAAACTACAACAGTAGGGACTACTAATTTAAATAATATGGGTCATCAGTTTGCAAATCAAATTACCAGGAAAAAAGCTAACAGTGTGAAAAACAAACCCATTGAAATTATATTTCTGGCTCATTAAGACTTCAAGCTTTACGCATAACTCATCCATGTAGGTATGCTTGCTTTCACTGTATATCTATTACTTTTCTCATTTACTTGCATGTAAGAACAAAGACCGGGTCATACTGTAGCATATACAGTCCAGTAGCATATAGTGTAGCATATAGCCCCTTTTATCTAGCACTACTGTACTATAAAAAATAAGAGGGAAGTGGAGCGTTTTCCATGTGCTCCAGAGGGGCTTTGAACAAAAGGTGAATTTGTTTTACATAGTTCTGCAAATAATAGAAAAACACCACTGACAACCGCATTAGATAGAACAGGGACAGCATTCGAAACCGGGGAAAAAAAAAAAAAAAGAGAGAGGGGGGGGGGGGGGGGGGGGGGGGAGGGAGGG